AGAAATGGTCTGTTACTCATTCTGTGCACTGCAGAACCTGCTTTAGTACACGTCTGGCAGATGCCAGAAAGCATGTTCCATTTCTTCTGTATTACACAGAAAATGAATAGAAAGTACTTAAAAATAATAGGATACCAGCTATGTAGGGATTGAAGGGCTATATTCCATTGAAGACTATCTAAAATCTTAGGGTGATCAAAAGAGACCTCTAGGGAAATACCTTTCTGTTATGGACTTCATTACATTGGAATTAGGATTAAAATTACTAGATAATGAGGTGTAATAGATGAACCATTTGTAAGACTGCCCAGGGACATATTTGTACAGTAAATATGTTTATACCCAAAGTCAGAGTATTATCTAAGAGAAGTCAATGCTATTATACGAACAAGTGATGGTGAATTCTGTGAGACACCATGGAGGATAGGCAGAAGAGCTACAAGGGGTGAAGATCCTACCATGCAGTCACTCACAACAGCAACAATTCTCAGCTTCAGAAGTAAGTGTGCACAAAGAGAACACAGTTGCATTGTTTGTCTTGTACTGATATTCAGTTCTCATGCATAATTCACTGAAGCACCAGATTTTACACACTGCCTAGTGCTCTCTTAGCTCCTTGTTTAGACATGCAGCACTGGACAGGAAGGGTTTGGTAATTTGGGGAACCAGATGCAGCTTTGCTAACACCCTGGTTATCATTGTGGGCAAAATGTGATTAAATATTACATACTTTCTGTGAACTGAATATGGATGCTGAGAATAGAATACTTCCCCGTATTGTTAGGAGCGAAGTATCTTATTCTCAGTTCAGTCATTATGTACAAGTCTCAGGCACTTTTGTTGTTTAAAAGGGCATTTTTAGTATCTGAATAGAAACAGTGCATGTGTATCAGGGAAGAAATGTAGTTATTACTTTGATGATAATAATAGCTATGACGTGATGAGAACGATACAGAGTAGGAAAATTGTTAAATGTGTACAGGTAAGTGTTTGTCCTGGTTTCGGCTGGGATAGAGTTAATTTTCTTCCTAGCAGCAGGCATAGTGCTGTGTTTTGGATTTAGTAGGAGAAGAATGTTGATAACATGCTGATGTTTTTAGTTGTTGCTGAGTACTGCTTATGCTAGTCAAGGACTTTTTCAGCTTCCCATGCTCTGCCAGGCGCACAAGAAACTGGGAGGGGGCACAGCCAGAATAGTAGATCCAAACTGACCAAAGGGCTATTCCATACCATATGACGTCATGCTCAGTATATAAACTGGGGGGGGGTGGCCAGGGAGCAGTGATCGCTGCTTGGGAATTGTCTGGGGATCGGTCGTCGGGGGGGGGGGCATTGCATCACTTGCTTCGTGTATCATTATTATTATTATCATTATTATACTGTTACTATTAGCATTACTATTTTACTTTATTTCAATTATTAAACTATTCTTATCTCAACCCAGGAGTGTTTCTCACTCTTACTCCTCCGATTCTCTCCCCCATCCCATTGGGGTAGGGGGAGTGAGGGAGCGGCTGCGTGGTGCTTAGTTGCTGGCTGGGGCTAAACCACAACAGTGTTCTAGCGGTTTTGGCTGTAAGAAAGGGGCAGGAAATAAGCTTGCCTGGAGGACAGATGCAGCCGTCTGTACAGTGATCTTCACAAAGTGCAGATCGTTCCGGGTTGCTGCATGTATCAGAGCAGGGGGATCCACACTCCTGGTATTGCATGTTGAAAGGACATAGTTTGGCTGAAAGTAGAAAGAGTATTATAATGCTGACTTTTCCTTTGAAATGTTGAGAAAACAGTGTTTGCAATTTAGGACGTTTTGTGTCAAGATATAGTGGGGAATCCTGATCCAAATGGAGGCTGCAACATTTTAGACTTTCTGATATATATTGAAAACCCTTAGTAATGCAAAATCCTCTAAACTTCCATATTCCCAAAGTCTTGAGTATGCTCAGGTTAAAACTGATTTCATGAAAATTGCATGCACATTTAAACAGCTGTCTTCTTCAGGAAAAAACTTACATATTTCAAGTTTACTAGATATGGGTAGTTAAGCACAGGTGAAAGTCCCTTCCCGAGATACTTACGACACAGTTCTGAGGTTCTCCAATTCAGAGGCTGTCCACCTGCATGAGCACACTGTCGGGAGTATTCAGCAAAGGTATTGCACATGCAGAAGTCGGCCATAGAGCTATCACAGTGGCATAGGTCTTGCATGCAAATTTCAATATAGTCCTGAACATTCACAAGTGCATTGCAGCTTGTAAATGCTGTACTGGTTAATACTGTCTCACAGATAGAAGCCTGGGAGGGAAAATGGAGAAGATAAAACAGGTGTTTAAAAAACACGAAACTGATGATTTAAGGCATGTAGCAGAACAATCCAAAGGTCCATCTTGTCCAGAAACCTGTCCAACAGTAGCCATAAGCAGATATTTAGGGAAAAGTGTAACAATAGGACAAGTACACATGGAACTCCTTTGATTAACTCCCATATCTTCCCATATCTTGAGTTACTTTCAGCTCAGGTGACTTCCCAAGCATTATACAGTTTCTTTGTATTAAGACTTTCTCTACAACTACCTGAAAGGAGGTTGTAGTGAGGTGGGTGTTGGTCTCTTCTCCCAAGTAGTTAGTGATAGGATGAGAGGAAATGGGCTTAAACTGCACCAGGGGAGGTTTAGGTTGGAAATTAGGAAAAATTTCTTTATGGAAAGGGTGGTCAGGAATTGGAACAGGCTGCCCAGAGAGGTGGTGGAGTCACCATCCCTGGAAGCGTTCAAAAAATGTGTACACATGGCACTTTGGGACATGGTTTAGTCTAGTCTACCCTTGATTGGTTTAGTGTGGACTTGGTAGTGTAGGTTAATGGTTAGACTGGATGATCTTAAAGGTCTTTTCCAACCTAAACGATTCTATGATTCTATGACTTCCCCAGTGAATTTCTCTTTCATGAAAATAACCAGTCTTCTCTTGGAAGGGGAATGCAACTTTTTAGCATTCACTTTAGCAAAGAATAAAACATTAAATTTAGAAAAAATTTCTTTCCAGACATACGGTTGAGTCGTATTCCTGCTATATTTTTTCCACTTCTAACAAATTTTTTCCAAAGACAGGGAGAATGTATTTTACACTGAGAAAAACTTTGAGAGATGTTCTTACAAATTCAGCTGAGCAGTTCACCAGAACAGCGGGAGGAATAGGATCAGCACACTGCTCTGTGGGTCCATCCATCTTCTGCCTATTCCCAAACTGTATGGGAGTCAGTTTTGTCTCTGTAAAAAGCAGTTGAAATATTAGAGTAATATTTACTAGTTTACTGGCTTTTGCATGGAGATACTTTCTTTTGCAACACTACCTGCTATGACATAAACAGTGATTACCACATAATATCACTATAATATGAAAGGCAAAAGGAGATGAAGAAGGTGTACACGGAACAGGATCCTAACTATTGAAAACAACTAGAAAGTCGAGTGTGGCAGGTCTTAAGAGATCTAACAGTGACGGAAACAGCCTAATACATCTCAAAGCCCTGACTCTATGCATAACTGACATCACAGAAATACATAAAGAAGTATCACTAGTTTTGCAGTTAATACAACCCACAACTTGTGTTCCAGTATACTGCTAAAAGAAAGAAAAACAAAGTGCCAATAGTTAATAATGCTTTTTATTACTTACTCTCTGAAATAAATTCATTGCTAATTGGAATTCCATTGAAGTCCCCACAAAGTCCGCAAGTTTGATTGGCATATTTGTTATCTAGTTCCACCTGAAAGAAATGAGGAGAGAATGCTTAGGTTCATAGTAACGTCAGCCTTGTTGGTTAAGAACACAGCCTACATCAATATTGCTTATGTACTCAAAATTTAACATATGTATGCTGTGCAGACTGTGTTGTGTGGTAACAAGGTAGGCACCATTGGGAAGGTCAGTGACCACAAAGAAAATCTTGGTCTTATTCTAGCTCTGGGGCTGTGAACATCAGCGTATTGCCAGGTCTGGAATCTGAGGAATACTTCACTGTGAGGTGGGGACACTATAATTAGGTGTCTGTTGATCCTGAGCTGAGCTTGGTGGGAAAAAAAAAGGGAAATTGGGAGAACACTGGAAGACAGAACAATACACTAAAAATGGACACAAATCCAAAAGTAACTAATGCCTGCCTGGCTGATTAAGACTGCAAAGGTGTAAACAGACTATTTTCAAAATGCAGGCTTTCTGCCATGCTTTGGATGTTTTTCTTACCAGGAGGGCATCCTCTTCATTCCAAAGGAAGGTCAGCCCTAACTTGGCAGAAACTTTCAAATAGCTGTTACTTCTCTCTATCAAGACTCCCATATGGCTGTAGGGCATCTGAACCCTGGGGAAAGATCACAGTAATTCAGCAGGGGTAGGGACAGAATATCCATTGAATATCCACACTGATATCCTTTCTCATTTTCTTTGAGAAGCTTCAAAATGCATAGGTGAGGAAATTAGTCAGAGCAGTAGCTAAATACAGACAATACAAGTTTGTGACATTTTGGGCTGTTTCCTATGCAAGTGCTTCTCATTGTGCAAATGGATCACCCTTGCTTTCCCTGCTGTTCCTTTTGGCTATCTCTGTTAGTGGTGTTTTGCTAGATAAAATGTTGGCATGAGTCTTTGGGTGTCTTGTTCAAAAAAGTCCTGGAAGGTTCTGTTTTGCAGACAGTATGCTTCAGGATATTGCTATTTACTCCTTCAAGCCCTTGATAATAAAGGGATAGACTCTTTAGGCTTTCTGTGATGCGAGTGCCATTCACTAAGGTGTACCCAAGATAACCACTAGACTAGCTCTCTGTACATAGCTGCTATAATACACAACTCCTGTAGGATAGCTGCCCAAATATTTACCCAGCCTTTTGGGCAGGTTTCACACCCTATGCGAAAGTCAGTGCTACCATTGCCACATAGATAGCAAGTTTCCAGACATCTTAAATGAGTGCAGGTACAAGATGCAGTCACTGCTTAACTGCATACTGTTCAGTGCAAGGACAAAAGCTGTCAAAAATTCCTCTCAAGCATCCTGTTCTGGTAAAATTAATGGAAAGTAGAAACTGAAAGGGTGTAAATACCTAACACTTTGGCTGAATCCAGCTTATAGACTCAATTGTATATATACATACACAATTGTAACAGTGGAGCAGCATCTGGGATATAGCTCATCTGAACAAAATGGACACAGGGATAATCTGCAGAAGTGGCATTTAGCTCACTGTCAGGCCCTCTTATTTTTGTTGATACTTCAACTTCAGGAAAGACCTGAGCCCTACAGCTGCTTGGGAGCAATGTGAGATCAGATGAGGGAAAGGGATGCTTGCTCAGAACCCACTGAGAGCAAGAACAGTGATGACAGTTTCAAGTTATGAACATACAATTTGCCATCAAGCAGGACAGAGCCACGGGTCAGTTCAATCACTGCTCCTTCCAGCTTCATGATGACGTGAGTGATTGTGGTAGCATTTTCCACCGTTGTACGCCTAATCTGGATGTTGAAGTCCTCAAAGGGAGATTTGCAGTTGGATGCAAAGATGTAATTGCAGACCCCAGGGAAGTAAAAGATGTCCCCATCAAAGGTCTTGAAGTGGAAGTTACCCCATGTGCTGCACACACGGCCATTGTGAGAGGGGTTGCCAGCTGTGGATTCAAAATAAGCAGTAAGAATTTTCTGTAGTTTGCTGTAGATACTCGCCATTTAGTTGCTTTTCCCCTTTCATTTCTTTCACCAGCCTCTGTCCAAAAAGCCCATCTTCTGTTTTCCTTCTTGTCAAGCTATTTGTTTATTGATCTGTTATTTACTTAGATTAAACACAAAAGATAACTGAACTGTTTTGCATAGGGATATTAGGGCCTAAGATCAGACGAGACCTCCCTGGTCACTTTGTCCAATGCTCTGGTTCTGCTGACAGTGTATTCTATAAATCCTTTCCTAAATTTATGAAGTTCTAAAGTTTCACCATAAAACCAATTTAAAGTTAGTTTAAAACTAGCTGGTACTCCCACTAGGGAAGGCCACTCATAGCTGCACCCTTTGAATAGCTGGAAGACTTTTGCTTGCATCTTCCACAATGTATTCCTGTCTCGTGTATGCCTGGTTGTTCTTGTGCCAGTATTACACTTCACCATGAAGGAGTTTCACCTCCCTGCTCCTCCCCACCCCGATTATAGAAATCACTTATCTCTTTTCAGTCTTCATTTCCTTACAAGCAGGCTCTCATATCTCCCTGATTATCCTTACAGTCCCTCTCTGTGTCTCTTCCAGATTTACACTCACCCTGCTTGAACACAACTAGTCAGAATTGTACCCTATACCCTAGATAAGGTGTCTCATTAGTGCTTTGAACACATTAATATTTCCCTCTCTTTACTGGAAATATTGTACATGATTTATCCCAGTATTATTTTTATATATCTAAAAAAATATGATTTTTTTTAATATCTTTTTTTTACAGCTGCATCATATTAACGAAATGCAGGCTGAGTACTGGGATCACATTTATATTATTCTTGTACCTGATGAACTCACTAATTTTCTTGCTCATTTTTTATTTTACAATGCTGAAGAGTCTTACATAATTTATTAACCTCTTCAATCACTCTATGCTCTACCTGTGTGATCAACAAGAACAGAGATATCTGAGCCATGACATTGGTTTAACTTACCCTTTACTTTCAGTGTGTTTTGAAAAGGTGGAATGATTGTCACCTCCTGAGATTTTGAAGCTGGTGGAAAATCTAAGGGGGAAAAAATGACCAAGTTTAATCTGATTAGAGGTCCTAAAAAATTGATAGAGATTGCCTAGTCTCTTTAGTGATTAACATTTCCTGCTTCTACTTACACTTTAGGGGGAAGTTTCCGCAAGGTTTTATTCATGTTTTTTACACAGTGCTTTGTGTTCTGTCTTTCTACATATTTCACTAGCAGCCAAATCCCAAATCTTTGGCTGTGGTACTTTCTTCCACTATTTGTTCAAGACTCCCATCTGATGCTGGCCTCGATGTTCTGAACTCAAAAGCAGCAATCTGATCCTTAAAGCACAGTGTTGTAATAGTGATGTGGAAAAAGCAGTGCTAATGTCTACATCTGAGCCTTTGCCTCTCAGTACACTTAGAAGCAGAAAGTTATTGAAGAATATTAGAAGGTGAGCATGAGAAACAGGAGCTGGGTTTTTTTTCTCTGAAGCTCATATCTTTCTTTGTGCTGAGACATGCTCTTTTGCACAACCAACTCTAAGCAGATTTTTTTTAAAATTCTTTGAAAGTTTAAATTCTGTGAAACTTTAATCATGTGCCCTTCATGCAGACACTTCTATGGGTAGGATCCAACCCTAGATTTTCCAAGTCCAAACCCAAAGTTTTCTCTTCGGATCCAGCAATGAAAGGGACAGAATACTTAGAGAACCTGCAATGTGATTTTCTTAACATGAGGGTCTGAGGAATTGATGCAGTATCAAAAAAAAAAAACTTTTGAAAGTATCAAAATTGTAGAGTGGACTTCCAAACCCTATATTGTGCAATATCAGCCATTGACTTCTGCATTTAGACCAAAAAGATATCACTAAGACAAATAGTGTTTTTGAAAGACAATCTCATTTAGTCTTGATATAAGGATTTTAAGGGAAAGCACACATATTACCTTCCTTGACAATCTATTCCAATAATTAAATGCACTCACTATTACTAAATAATTTGTGGTACACCTCCAGTTTGGGTTCACTATTTTTATTGCCAACTAGTGACCTCACAAATTGCAGATTGCAGGGCAGGCTTAATGATTAATTGTTTCAGCCTGTCGTCACTAATATCCCAGTCAGCATTGTATCCTTCCACCCTTATTTGCTCTGTACAGTTATGGTGTTTGCTCTGTACAGTTATGTGTCATACATGATCTTGTAGTGCTTAATTATTCTAATGTTTAGGTTATTTACAGTTTTCTTGTTCTCTTGTGAGTGATGCAGCCATCTTGACATAGCATTAAAAAATGTATCTTTTATTACCTACTATCAAGTACCTTGGTGATATGTATGTATACACACACACCTCTTCTGAAAATACACTTTTAGATAGAAGGTATGTACCTTTCATGAAGTTAAAGATTAGATAACTGTATCATATCAGTAGACCAGATCCACTGGGCCAGATCCAGAGGAAATTCTCCAGTTTCAAGCAGTCAGAGAGTTGCTGGGAATCGGATATATTATACAGAGAATTTCTTTCTCCTTTTTTTTTTTTGGGGGGGCGGGGGGTGGGGGTTGAGGAGCAGGGATAGGGTAAGATTCTAGTAATCTTATTATTTACCAGTTTAATTTGGGACAAAATCTTAGAAACAGATCAGCATAAAAATACTTACGTTTTTGTTGCTTCAGGATGGATGGAGAAACAAACGTTGATTTTGTTTGTTGTTCATCATCCTGGGCTTGAACTGCATCAAGAAGAGTGGAGGAGGAAAATGTTAATGTCTAATTTTCTTCAGTTCCCTCATAATTTCTCAATTAAATCTGTTTAAACATGCAGCAGTCAGTATATAAAAAAAAAAAAATCAGTAAAGTTATGTTCATGTACAGGAGGTCAGATTTGCATTAGGACCTGTGCTACTTGCAACCATGATGGTGATATACCACTCCTTCAGGTTTTTTTCTTTTTTGCTAATAAATTACTGCAGGGAAGCCATCAAAAACATGCCTGTGTTAATTTGAGCAGATCCTTAATCTGTTATTTTCACAGGACCCCGGATGCCTTTATAAGCTTTTCAGATGAAGGACTTAATTTTCTTAGATTTCATGATCACTGTGTGCTTTAAGCTTCAGTAAAACCCTTTATCTAGCTAGGGGGCTTTAAAAATAGGTCCCTTTCATGCAGGAAGAATTCATTTTAGAGTTTGAGGACTGATATTTGTCCTCTCTTACTGAAAGCCAAAGTTACTCTGTATTTTACAGTTTCAAGCACTTTTTGTAATAAGCAACGGAAGGAAAATAAATGCACAAGCCACACAGAAAGAAATAGGTCTTTCCAATAGATACATTTGTGACTGTTGATTTTGCCCCAAAGCAAGACTTTTTGTTTCCAGTGAAGAAACCATTTTTTCATTCAATTCCACTGCAGCATCAGGATAGGAATACACCCAAAATCTGCAGGGGCCGGAGGGGCTTTTAATGCACTGCTTAGTCAGAGTTCGTCACAGGGCAGGGTTGCAGGGGGTGCTATGCTGGCCGGAGAAAACCGAAAAGGCAGGGTTACCCCCTGCTGTATCCCACAAGGGCAGTCCATGGGTAGCACCGCTAGAGGGGCTAATGTTGAAATCAGAGCTGCAGGGAGCTCCTTAAGTCCCTTCCTTTCTGCACCAGCTGGGGGTTGGAAGGACACATTGTGCCCGTTTTTAAGCTATGAACCATTCAGTGCTTCTGGGCTCCTCTTCTCCACTGCCTAGCCTCAGAGAGCTTTTTGCTTCTCTCTCCATGCACTGTATGGCTCCAACACTCTGCCTCATGCCATATGCATCACAGATTCCCATTTCCATTGCATGGTGTGGTAATGCCACAGCCAGTCTTTTGATGGGCTGTTCTTTGACACTAACACTTTTAAACATAAGTTCGCATGGAATTGCCTGGAAGTAGGAAAAAGTAAAATAATACAGTAGGATCTGCATCTGAGATCGAAATGCACTTAAAACTAACATTGTTACCTTAAACTTTAAGGGAAATTAACAGGTGAAGTATATGTAAATACTCATCTATGAGTATTAAGTGCCCTGTTAGAATATTTAAGGCAACTCCATTTGTTTTCATGCCATCAAAAACCTACCCTGGGCTCTAAGCTCTTATGCAACCTCATGTGCAAGAATAGATTAACTTTTAAAATCTGTTGCCTAATGTTTTTAAAGCAAAATCCCTCCCTTTTTCAGTACTGTATCATCAGCTGATAAAAAACCAAAATCTTTAATAATGCATGCAGATAGACTGCACTGCTTTGTTCCTTCCTAAAGCCACTTTTTCACCCTTTGGTTTGTGCATTTAGAAATGCTGTACCATCTTGAAGTGGACATCAAAAGCTAAATGCAAATTGTGAGGCATTTTGGTAGAAATGTTAGTTCCAAGTGACTTCCACTGAATTCAGTGGAGCTATTCCAGATTTTGACTGGTGAAAATAGGATGAGAGTATGGACTACAATATAAATTTTCAAGACAGTTAATTTCCTTTTCTTAGGAAGGAAAGTATTTCTAACAGAAAAGAAAATCTTGCATAAAGGTAACAAGTTCATTAGCGTCACAAAGCCAAGAAAAAAATGTTTCAAACTCCAAAGCAAGTTATAAATTCTTTAAAACAGTAAAAATGCCAAGCAAGTGAATCTTCCTACCTTTGATCTGTATGAAGGCAAGTGCTAGTATTGATATCCATAGGGGTATTCGTGTCCCACCACCTGTGCCCATCTTCTTGAAGTCCGGTAGAAACTACCGAACACCGGCCTCTGAGGAAATACCTGTCTGCTCCTGAGTCTTATATAGTGAAAGAGTAGGTTTTGGCTCAGTTCCCAGATTATTTCACAAGGTTCTTAAAAGGTGGGGCTTCAGACATTTTAGTTTTCCTTTGCAAGTGCACAGGTAAATAGAGGATGCTCTGACTTTCCTGCAGGTATTTACACTCTAGGAGGAGTCTTCTTTCTACAGGTCTTTTTGATGAAATGTCAAGAAGTGAGCAGGAAGAATTTTTGCCCAGGCTGTCTTCCCAAATTGTTATATGTTATGGGATAAATACAATTTAAGGGGCTTCTGAGTGACTTTTGAGCAGGAGCTTGGAATGAATGAATTCTTTTTTTTTTTTAATTTTCCTTGTTAGGGTAAATGATGGCAACTTAACTTCTCAAAAAGTCCAAGGAAGTTCTGTCTCACACAGTTTTTTTTTTAAATGAGTTTGCATCTGTCTATGTAGCTACTTTGCCTGTGAAAAATCAAACACCATCTAAGGTCAGCATTTATCCACAGGCCAGGCACAACACAGGACTACGCAGTGAAAAATCCTTCAGCATTGGAGAGTCAGTAATATGGACCTTTCCTTGAGGGATTCTTCTTCTCACATGGGCAGTTTCAGTGCTACTTCAGATGTTTTCCTTCTGAGTAAATATGATTTCACCATAACAAATTAGATTGATTCTACCTACAATTAAAAATATAGATTTTCTTGGTGATTGCTGTGTCTAGAGACACAAAAAGACTGATTTGCAAGAATGTCCTTTGGAATGTTCCTTATCTTAGAAACAATGAGAGAGTGAACAATGTATTGTGAATATGTTAATATATTTATTTACTGCTATATTACTTCGGTGAATTAACCTTTTATAGTGTTTTACCCTGGGGTGTAGAGAAACACCGTCTTTCAGTAGGAGGATGGATCCCATAATCCCACATGGGATCAAGCAGTTCCTGCAAAGAAGATGATACTGGGATAGTCTCCATATTCGCTGGCAAGAGGGCAAGATATAATTAGATTTAAAACTGGGAATGAAGTTTATATTAGATATTGGGGAGAAAATTTCTTTTTGCAAGGATGATGAAGTACTCATATAGGTTGCTCAAGAAGACTGTTGAATTTCCATCATTGGTGGTTTTTAAGAACAGGTTAGAAAAACACCTACCTGAGAATGGTGTAAGTGCTGTTGATAGTGCCTTGGGGCAGGGGGATAGACTAAATGGCCATTTGAGATTCCTTCAAACACAATTTTCTATTATTTTTTCTGAAAAATAATATGTATTCTCTCTGTTGGAGCAGTTATATTTGAGGGAGTAACTTCAACATTAAGAGAGAAATAAAAGGCACATTTTTTTCCCTAAGCAGTAAACAGAAGCAAGAAAAGATGCTGTCTTTCCTGAACATTTTAAAAGTACAAGTGGTTGTTAATATTTAAATAAAAGTGACAGAACTAAATGAAATTGGAAGTGTTGAGGAAAAGAATTGGTCGATTACAGTCATGAGTTATACCTCTGGCAACTTCATTGATGTATAAGTGTAGAATTTGCCTTAGTATTATTTAAATGAGGAAAAGAAGATGCCTACAAGATACTTGTGTATACAGAAATACATGCAGTGAAAAAGTAAAGGAAATGTAATCACCTCTAACAGTTATTATCAAAATTCCAGGATGAAGATCTAAAAAAGAAAAATTTTAATGCATATAACTGGTGTGCAATTAAGGGAATTATAAATTAGTATGGTAAACTCAGCTGGGTAACACACATAAGCTTATTAAATGATTCTGTTGGTGAGAAGAAAAATATACTTTATGAATCATTACTTTGCTTACCACTGAAAAATCAATTCATATCAACAGTTGCTATGCTGTGGTTTCATATACACAGGTTAACATTTCCTGCATATTCAGAGAAGTACTATGACCTCTCAGAGATCCCAGTTTGGTCACTGCTGATGATTCCCTTTGTATAGCCATCACAAATTAGGCTGAAACTGATTTACAGTTAAATTTAATCCCTTTGACTGAGCTTTAAGACACTGTCAAAAGTGGTGCCCTATAGCTGCATTTTTGGCTGAAAGTCTCAAATCTCTTATATGTCACGGATCACATTATCCGTACACTCCTAAGTGGTTACTTCATTGATTAATCCTCTTGCTGTGTTAACTTCCATTATCTTGTGCTGATTCTTTTCAGAAATTACTATAAAATGTGTCAAAATATGAGAGACTTGCAAAAATAATTTCCAAATATTTATTTGGAATTAAAAAATTAATTTAACAGTATTACTAATTATTCAAAGAAATAATTCCTCTTCAAATTGTATTTCACCTTCATTCACTCAATAGACCTACACAGGTGATATGGGAGTGTATTTTTTAAGATTGGTTTGGAGTAACATGTCCAGATTTGTGTAACAGTTTAAGATCAAATCAGTGTACAGTTGACTGCATAAGCAGAAGTATTAATATATTGGAAAAATTTATTGATGTATATATTTTTTATTTTTTTAACAGAAAAGATAAAATATTCTGACATTGCATTTGATCTGAAAACCCTGACACTTTTTTCTACAGCTTCTGTTTCTTTTTCATGGGTTCGTAGTCTTACTCTCTGTGTCTGCAATATTAAATTGAATGAAAAATTTCAGTAGAATCATAGAATCATAGAATCGTTTAGGTTGGAAAAGACCTTTAAGATCATCCAGTCCAACCATTAACCTAACATTACCAAGTCCATCACTAAACCAATTAAGCGTAGACTAGACTAAACCATGTCCCAAAGTGCCATGTCTACCCGTTTTTTGAACGCTTCCAGGGAAGAAGAGTTGTTAGCATTTTGTTAGCATTTTCAGATCCATTTTTTTAATCATACATGATCAAATACTCCATGGTGATGATGTTATTCATGCATCTTACTTGTGATTTCTGAGTCTGGTTCTTCATAAGAAAATATGAGACCGTCATATCTTATTTTCATACATCCTATGGAATGCAAATAAAATGTCATAGCAAATTTGGTTAACTTTCAGGTGCAGTAACGATTGAAATCAGTGTCTCCATTTATAGTTCTAAGAGCTAGAATGATGGACTCATAGAGACATGCAGAAGGTGTCTAGTTCACCTAGTGCTATATTGGAGTAGTTGCATTTCGAGCGAAGGACGAAAACATTTGTATTTGGTATAAACTAAGACAATTCCCCTGTGCCAGCACTAAAATGCAAGTTAGCAATGATCTGTCTGCTGGGTATTTCTCTGGCTGGTCATTTGCCCACTTCTGAGGCTGAGTTTAAGCTCCAGAAATGGTGCTGGGACATTAGGTTTTGCATTCAGCTGAAGTACCATTCTGATTGTCCCTAATTTTTGATCTGTACAAATTCAAACCCATGTTTTTTGTCTGAAAGTTTCTATGGAAAGGTGAGGCAACTGATCAGTTTCTACTCAAAAGTTGTTCATTAACATTATAGGTGTTTTCTTCATTATGTGAATATGAACTACATTTCAAACAGTTGCAGTAGGTATTTTATAGTATGATATGATGTAGTCTATCTAAAGTGAAGCTATAGTTAAAGACTGAAACAGGGATACGACTCCTTTTATGTCCTTTGCTAGATCTTAGTCAAACATGGTGCCATTGATCCATTCCTTTACTTCCAAATGCTTAGATAAAACTCATTGATTGAAAATCAAGTCACATCAATACCTGAGATTTGAAACCCTGTTTCATTAACATGAGTAGTTCTCCAGCTGTCTTTTAGCATGTACATTGTAGAGGACCAAGTACATAATGCTTTGAGCTCCATTGCAGCCTCTATGCTTTACTGTAAAACACGTAATGTGTAATATGATTAGGATCTATTTCTGGTTTTATTTCTGTTATCTGTTGATTTCAAAGGTTACAGTGTCATTTAGAAGAACCTAAGCAAAGAATAACAAGTTAAATCAGGCATTGGAAGCTGTCTAGCTGCAACAGAAGAGGCTAGTTTACACCAGTATGACTAGGAAGTAAAATATATTGAGTATAGTATCTTTTATTTAAGTTTTCCTTTGGGAAGAAATTCAGTCACAGAACATCTTAGAGTCCTGTATTAAGACATTCCACCTATGCAAAATTAGTAAAGAGACATCATATTATAAGTATTGTATGTCAAATATACCCTTGCTTTTCTATTAACCAAGTTCCTTTTCCTGGGAAAGATCTGAAAAGTCATGGCTGATGTGGACTGGGTCAAGTGGACAATAGTATTAGTATTAGCACAATAATGTGAGATTACCACAAGTTCCCAGAGTAGCCCTGCACTGGTATGAGGTGTTTTCCCTGTAATAAAACATTCAGAGGTTGAACAGCATTGTTTTAGCCCATGCCTTCCTTCACACCTTTTCTGCAACTCCAGTGCCAAATTTCACGTTGTCCTTCCCAGGACTTTTGCATACAGAATAACCCTTCTCACGACTGGCTGCTTCTGCCATCTGTATCATTACTGTTTCTTTGTTTCAGCTCTACCTGCTATCAATACTGCTCTGCATTCTTCTATTCCTCTTCTTCCTCCAATGTCCTTTATCTTCTTCTTGACACTTGAAGACAACTTGGGATCTGGGTTTTTTTCAGAGTATTTGGCATTACATACAATGTTATAAGTTCAGTGCATGGCTCCCATTGGTTTCAGCAGTAACTGAATGCTCCACACCTCTGCATGTTCAATCTCAATGTTTCAAGCTGATTGTCCAGAAAATGAAGAATGCACAGTTAAAAACCATTATTATAAATTGATATAAATCCTTTAACTGGCACCACAAAAGAACTTTGTGGCACTCAAGCAGTTGATGATACCATCCTTGCTCTTTTCAGCATTTCCCTCATTCAGTTGCTTCAAATTTATGTTCTGCAACAAACAAATAAATGAACAAACAAAGCAGGAAATCTTAAAGGCAATTGTACCAGAAAGATCCCTGCAATGCTCTAAGAGAAGGTTCCACAGAAAAAATAATATGCATCCTGTACCATTAGGAGTATGCAGGTACGGGCCAGGTTTCCTTGTTGTCTGACCACGTCCAGGGTATCTCTGTGTATAAAGGGGATATATACTTAAGCCTCTTTATAGGGAGGTACAAGTTGGCCACAAATTAATTTTACTTGGAAATTTGGATAAGGTTTGTAAACATCAAAGGATTGCCATCAGTTCTGCAAGACCTTATTACAGTAGCAGGCATCAGGACCATAACTACTTTGAAGACAATCCTGATGTTCATTCATGTGGTTATTGGTATGATGCTTTATATTAACATTGTCTTCATCCATGGTTTTATTTTTAGTTTAGTAAATTTTATGCAAAGTTTCTATTTATTTTTATAAAATATTATTGAGTTGCAAGGTCAAAACACTGGGAGGTATTGTTGTTAAGACCATCAGTGCAGTTTCATCAAATAGTTTCAAATTACATGAGTGAAATTTTATGTCTCTCAGAGGATTCATGCTTTTTTTAGACAGAGCTTAAATAATGAGTATCTCTTCAGTCATTTGTTCAATTATTTTTAACTATGTGTCCTAACACTTTGTTACTGTGTGTTATTCAAACCTTACTCTGAATATAGCCTCATCAATTTCCTCAGTTACTTTTCTGTGGTGTCCATCACTGGAGTACCTGAGAATTTAATCAATAGTAATATATTGCTTTTGAAAATATGCTTGGAAATACTTGGGGTTTATTATCTTTGTATTAAATATTGCTAGATGAGGCATATAAAAGGTATGGGTATCCGGTAATTTTGGGTGAACAGTCTAACACTCCTAGGATTGATTTTTCAAAGTACTGAGCCTTATTATGGTAGTGTGCATGTTTAGAGTGTAGACTTCAGGTAGAACTGTGAAGGTGCCACATTTCTGCAGCTGAGATGCTGAAGTGTCCAGCATGACATCTAGAAGAAAACAAATCACTGACTGAAAATTGAAGTTTAAACAGATATGCACAACATCAAAAAAGAACTATTC